CAGCTTCATCCCAGGAGCGCAGTGTCCCCTCCCCGGGCGCAGCTTCATCCCAGGAGCGCAGTGTCCCCTCCCCGGGCGCAGCTTCATCCCAGGAGTGCAGTGTCCCCTCCCCGGGCGCAGCTTCATCCCAGGAGCGCAGTGTCCTCATCCTGGGAGCGCTCTCTCCTCCACGAGCGCGGAGCATCCCACGCGGAATCGGCGCCCTCGGGAGGACGCGGGACCGTCCAGGTCGCAGCCTCATCCTGCAGCGCAGAGCAGCGAGCGGACGCAGCGGTCCTGGGCTCAGACTCGCTGCCCTGACCCCGGCCAGACAGCGCGGCCGGACAGGCGAGGACAGGAGGGGTCGGGCGGCCCCGCCACCTGCCCGGCGGCGCTTACATAAACGCGGCGCCGCGGGAGCCGCCGCCCGCGTGTCCGGAGCCCGCGCCCGCCCGAGCCGCCGCGGCCCGCGCCGCCCTCACCTCAGCCGCAGCCGCAGCGCGCGGCCTCCACACGCGCCAGGACTCCGGCCGCGGTCCCCGCCGGCGGCGCCCGCCTCGGCCGGTGTGCGCAGCGGCGCGGTGGCTGTGGTCTCGCGCGGTCCAGAGCGCCGGCCACAAACCCGGCCGCTCGGCCGCCGCCGCCGTCACGGCAGCCTCAGCGCCTCAGCCTGGCCGCCGGCGGCTCCGCCCCCTCCCCCGCCCCCGCCGCGGGTGCGCGCACGCCGGGGACGGGGCTGGCGCCATCACGCCTGCGCGCGCGCGTCCCCTGTTCGGGCCGACGACCGTGTTGTGGATGCTCCCAGACCGCTCCCCGGGACGCGGGGAGGACCCGGGCGGCTGCGGCAGGGCAGGTCTTGAGGGAGGCGTGAGGACACGGCGGGGTGTGCCGTGCGGGGCGGGTAGGACCGGAGCCGGGGTGCGAGACACAGGGGCGGGAAGCAGAGGTGGGGGACGCGGGGAGGGGCGGGAGCAGAGGTGGGCCCAGGGGAAGGCACCAAAAGCCCGGGGCGCGAGGAGGGCCCGGGGAGACGCGCAGACGTGGCCGCGCTGCAGCACCTGCTGCCCTGCCCAGTTTGGCGAGTAAAACGCGGCTCTGGTCCGTGGAGACCCTGGCCTGTGCGGAGCGTCGGGAGTCCTCCCCCGGCCCGCCCGCGCAGTCGAACTGGTGGCCTGCCCTTCAGCGAAGACCCCGCCGAGCTCCCTGCAGGGGTCTGCAGGCTTAGGTCACTCCCTGGGCTGGAAGCCGGCTACGCAGAGGGGCTCTGACTGCCCCTTCCTCCCGCTTCGCTCCAGCTTGTTAGGGTTGGGGTCAGGTCCGCAGCTCCGCAGGTGGACCCTGCGTTTCGGTTGTGAGTCTCACTGAGATTTGAAAGTCCAAGTTACCAAAGTGAGGTTGTGGGTTTTATTTTTATTTTGATAGTAAAGGCGTTTTAAAGCTTTTTATAGTGTGCAGTATACTTGGCTCTTCTGTTCGACTGTATTTATGGGCTCCTCCGCATCATGTTTACACAGATGATGAAAAGCATTTGTCGAAATGTGGCATTTTCAAAGACCAGAATAACCATTTCAGGACAACAGAAAACAAACTGAAGTTTTCCAGGAGAGAGGTGGTCGCTCTTGAACGTGGTCCCTGGGCGCAGAGGATCAGGCAGCACATAGGCTGCTGTTGATGGGGAGGACCCAGGGGCTGGAGAGAGTGGCCTGGTTGCTCTGCATCTGTGTTGAGCAGTGGGCACAGAGGCTGCGTTCAAGGGTGGAAGTCAGGTTCTGCTTTCCTTCTTTGTAAAGTAGGGGGAAAGCACAAACCAGGCATGGTGGCACACACCTGCAGTGCCTACTACTGGGCCTGGCGCAGGAAGATCACTTAAGCCCAGGAGTTGGAGTCTACAGGAGATGAACCTCATCCACTTGGGCAACATACCCCCCTACTTGAGACTGCTGGGAGGCTTCTAGGGACCCACCTTTAATAAACACTGTGTGCATAAAGACTTGGTATCTATTTCTGTGTAACAAGCCCCCAAAACTTAAGCTAGTCACTGAACTGCCCATGATTTGTGGGCCACAGCTTGTGCAGGTTCAGCTGGGACAGCCCATCTGTACTTCCTGGGGCATCTGCTGGGCCCACTCACCAGGACTGAGGGTCAGGTTCCAGGACGATCTGGGCCATGTCACTCACTGCCAGCAGGCTGGCAGATGCCAGTGTGCACAGCTCTTTTGGTCTCTGCTTGCACAAGGCTTCCTGTGTCTCAGCCTGAGCCGAACAGAGGGAACAATGGCTCGAGGAGGCTGTGGCTATAGCAGTCTTTCACGGGGCTTTTTTTAGTGCATTTTGTTGTAGGGAAACAAGGTCACTACCCATCAGTGGGGCTGATGCTCTGTCTTATGCAGATAGAGCCGGTCTTATGCTCTGTCCCTCCTGTACTCCTGCTGGTGGCCTGTCCTGCTCTGCCTAGTGGTGACCCCTTCCTGTTACACTGCCTCAAGCACCATCCTCCCCCACAGAGGCTGTTTGTACCATAGCGCACTCCTGACTTGGAAAAATGGCACACAGAACATACCTTTTGCTGCTCTGTGTTGGGATGAAGCCGTGTGTGGTCACAGCTGAGACATGGGATGGTACCATGTGTCATGGAGTTGGTGCACTAGGATGAAGACTGGTACCTGTGGGGTCGGGTTCTTTGAGAAGTACTACAATTTAGGTCTCCAGAGGTGCCAGGAGCTGCAGTGGACATGGCCAGCAGCATCCTGGCCTGAGCTACAGCCCTGTCCCCGCCTCCTGTTGTCCACTGTTAGGTTTATGCAGATTGTGAAATACCACTTTAGAGTCTCAGACAATAACATGATGCTCCAATGCTCAAGTGTCAGAATCTAGCTAGGTTCCTTCTATCTGCCCTGTGATACGGTGTTAGGTTTTGTATAAGTATGTGAAACTTAGCTGCTAAGAAACATTGTCTACACAACACTAGAAATTCAATTTGGCCACTTTTTTCCTCGAGTTGAATTAAATGGCATGACCACGTAACTTATCCTGCACAAGCAGAAATTACTGCAGGTACCACAAATGCTGGTAGGATACAGTGGTACAAGGTGATTTCCAACAATCTTAAGATAAAGACCTCTGGCAGATTTGGGAGAGGACCTAAGTGGATTTCAAACTGGTTTCTAGAACCCTCCAGGAACCGGTAGATGGGAGGGGACGGTGCCAGCTCCATAGTGGCGCCCCTGCCAGGCCTTTGTTCACAGGCTGGGCAAAGGAGACCTTTCAGCTGAAAAAAAAGCACTCTAGGTTTACAGGTGAAGATGACTGATTTGGGAGCCCCCTCCCTTGTACATCCAGAGGCTGGGTCATGTGACCTGAGCACAGTGATGCTGGGCTCCCTGGGATGAGGCCCGTCATGGCCAGCCTTTTTAGCCTTTCCTCCCCCGGCCTTGGGCTGACCACCCTTCCTGGCCACACGGGGTAATCTGAGTGATTCAATTTCCGTCTCCCGATTGGCAGAGCATGTTCCACCCTGCTGTCATAGTCAGGGTGTGCTCAGACTGAAGCCATCAGTCACTGAGTCCCAAAGGCAGCCCTTTTCTTGTTCTTTGAAGCCTATTTAACTGTGTACAGCCAAAAATGTGTCTTTAAAAATGTCCGTTGCTTTGTTTCTTTCGATGAAACTGTGTGAGAGAGAAAGAAGGCTCTTTGAGGTGTAGCAACAGTAGATTACTAATTCCATCATGTCTAAGAAAGGCAGGGTGATAAAGCTGTTATTAAGAGGTGACAAACATTCTGTGGTACAGTGATTTGAGACAGCACTTTCTGTCCTGTTAAAAAATAAAATGAGACTAGAGTGGCAAAAACCAAAAGGTCTAAGCCATTGAATCAGCTTTTCTACCTGGCAGTGGGCACCTTGCGTGAAGGCTGCCCAACTTGTGATGGGGACCCCCCAGTGCCCATGGTGAATCTATGTGGTCACCACATAGACAGAAGTGGCCTGTGTGTGCTGGGTCCCATGACTGCTCTGGGAACTTAGACAACTCCAGAAGCTGTGAGGGTAGACTGCCTTGCTTGCTAGGTTGGCCTCCTGAGGAGCCAGCCTAGGGGGAGAACAGTGGCAATGGCAGGAACTCTGGTTACCCCCAGGGCCTCCCAGAGCCACAGGCAGTGTCCTGTGCTTATACACAGGGTAGTGGGGGGCTGGCACCAAGGAGCAAGGCAGTGAGATGACAGGAACAGGCCAGTGCGGTGGACACAGGCATGAGGGTCAGATGGCATGAAGCTGGCTGCCCCCCGCAGTGGCTGTGGGTCTGTTCTTCACTGTGAAAGGGGGACGGCATGCCCAAGTCACGGATGCAGAGGCTCCATTGGTAGAGGACGTGGCTATGCGGAGAGGTGTGCACATGCGTGGGAGCCAGAGTGCTGCAGCGGTGTGGCTCTGGGAAGATAGTGCTGCAGAAGCCAGTGGAGTTTGAGCTGAGCCTTCAAGGATGAGTGAGCTTTGATGACCAGAGTCGCCAAGGCAGAGGAAAGAGCATTTCCATGTTGCATGAATTCAGAGAGGAAAGGATGCATCTGTCACCATTTAAGGGTCACCCTGCTGGACCATCTGGGTCTCCTGCCCTCCCTAAACTACTGGGAAAGTGGAATGTACCATGTCAGACCAGAGGTAGGCACACGAGAGTCCGTGGCTGTCTCTGCATAGCCCACAGATAAGAGTGAGTTCTAGGTAGTAAAATTTGGGGGTCAGGGAGTATAAAGCACATGTGATGGGCTTATGGGGTCCATGGGCTAGAAATTTCACCATCTGGATCTTCACGGGACCAATTTATTCCCCAGTTTAAGCTGAGTACGGTGGGGTCCACCTCCAGAGCTAGAGTCAGGTCAGCTACCCTCACAATGCACAGGACATCTGGGGAGGGGAGGAAACACACCGGTGGTGAGGGATGGTGGCAGTGGATGCCAGTGGTGCCTGCGCTGGAGCTAATGTGCATCCAGCCAAGCTGTGGGGAACTAAGGTCAGCTGGTGACAGCGGGAGTGAGAAGATTCACATGTTTTTGGAAGTGAACTTGTTTAGACTTAGTGGTGGCTTTGGTGGAGGGGTGCTGGTTGGTGCCTGCAGAGGGTGATGATGCTGTATAATGGGGATTGAAGGAACCAGGTATCCCTGGGGCCGTGCTGACCTCGAGGTGCCTGCCAGGGGCCGTGCTGACCTCGAGGTGCCTGCCAGAGGTCTGTGTGGCTGCCTCTGGGGGCTGCTTTACACAAGACCCAGGTCCCAAGAAGAGAGCTGTGCTGGGGATGTTCTCAGAGCCAGCAGAGATGGAGATCACTAGTCACCCACCCAAGGAGCATGGAGCATGGAAAGAGGGAAACTGAAGAACTTCTACCCTCAGAGCTGCACCCAGAAGGCCAGGTGAGCAGGCATACTGCAGGCCAACAGAACCAACAGAAAAGGGCATTTCTGGAAGCAAAGCCGGCCATTGAGGGGAGTCCAAATAAAGTGAGGACAGACACTCTATCAGATTTGGCAACACAGAGGTCACAGTGACCTTTAAAAGGTTGTAGAGTGTTGGGGACAGAACTGCCCAGAAAGAGAAGACGCTCTTCATTTCACACACTGGTGTGACCTTCAATCCAAAATGTAAGCAGAATGGCACTCAACAACAAAATCCAGAATAAATTATTAGAGAGTCCTGAATGCTCAGCATACCAAAGTCTAGCAATTTATGAAATGATAACATAATTATTAACATAATGATTTGACCAGGTTGGGTCTCCCCAGCATTAACTTTCTGCTGCCCTGTATGATCCATTCATGTAAATCACTACTGCAAAGATGGAAGACCATCGTCTAATCATCACAATAGATGCAGAGCAAGCTTTTAATAAATCTAGCATAATTCATGCTTAGAAAATAAACTCAGAAAACTGGGAATAGAAAAGGAACTTCCTTAACCAGATAAAAAGGGTCTACGAAAACTGCTACAACAAACATCAGACTCGAAATGTTAAGAACATTCTCTTGAAAGCAGAAGCAGCACAGGGAGCGTTCCTCTGCAGTACTGCTCAATGCTGCGAGAGAGCCAGGCACACAGAAGGAGGGGGACGGAATAAAATCTGTAAAGATTAGAAAGGAAGAAAGATGTTTGCATATGCAGAAAATTCAAAAAATCTACAGCTAAATTCCTAGATTGAATAAAAATCTACGAGACACTGGTATAAAATTGACTGACACATACACATCCCAAAAAGGATTTCTATGCATGGGCAACAAACACATTTAATTTAGAAAAATGATACTGTTTGCTGTTCATAGCAACACAAGTATGCATTTAAAATAACTCTAAAAAGTATATGACGTTTAGGGAGGTTTTTTTTTTTTGAGATAGAGTCGCTCTTCGTGGCCCTCCGTAGAATGCCATGAGGGATCAGCAACCTCAAGCTCCTGGGCTCAAGCGATTTTCTTACCTCAGCCTCCCAAGTAGCTAAGACTACAGGTGCACACCACAACACCCGGCTAATTTTTCTATTTTTAATAGAGATGGGGTCTTGCTCTTGCTCAGGCTGGTCTCAAACTCCTGAGCTCAGGTGATCGGCCCACTTGCTGGAATTACAGGTGTGACCCACCACACTCAGGCAAGAAAAATTGTTTTTAAAAATTGTAAGAGCAAGTGAATGTGGAGACACACCCAACACCTCAATTCTTTGTGGATTACTGTGGGTATAATTAGACAGGTAAAACAAAACTAGCAACCTCACTGACTTCTTTTGAATGGTAGTGGACTTTTTTGTGAATCAGATATGAAAGCAGTATGGCTTCTGATAACACATTACTCGAGAATAGTGGTCTAGAACCAGTAAGAAGAATTTTTTTTTCTATTTTGCTGAGTTATTTCTTAATTATTACATTAGTGGTCTTTTTGGAGAACTAGAAGGTAATTGGCAACTGGAGCCAGGCCAGAGGAAGGAGGTGGCTGGAAATGTAGGTTGGATGGAC